GAACACCAACATGGTGGCTTGTAACTCCAGTTCCAGGAGATCTAATTTTCTCTTCTAGCCTCTCTGGGCACTAGGCACACATATAGTACATACACATATATGTATGTAAACACCCATACATGAAAAAAACCTTTTAAAATTATATTCACTTATATTCTTTGTAGGCATACTTCTCTATCTTCTCAACAGAAGCGGCTTGTTAAAAACATCACAGATTTCCCCTTCTAGGAAGAAGACTGCTGGTGACGCTGAGGTTTTCCCATGTCTCCTACTCTATTTGCCCATTTTGATTTTTTCCATGTGAAGAAATTTTTCTCTTCTGTTAGTTTATAAGCCCTCTTTGATAGTCTAAAAAATATATCTGTTTGCAAAAACACTTTCTTAGTTTGTCATTTGCCTTTAATTCTGTCTATAAGATTTTTGAGGAAGTTTTATAATTTTGAAGTAATTGGAGAATCTTCTTTAAAGTCTGTATTTTTTAATTATGCTTAAGTTTCTCCACCCTGAGACTTGAAATTGTTATTTTTTGGTTATTATTTTTCTAAAAAATATTTCAAAAGCACACAAGTCCACCTAAAATCACTACCATTTTACAACTTTAATTACTTATACCAGTGCACACTTTATACAGACTCAAATTGGCAGCCTGTTTTCTAAAGTATTTTCTGACACAGGCCTCTAAAAAATTAGCTTATTAACTGGTTTTAAGAATTTCTGCAAGGCTAATGAGTCATGACATTACACCCAATTTAACAATAGTCCCTAAGTTCCACAACTATTCCTGTCTACAACCATCAGTGCCTAAGTACTCTCCAGTGTTTTCTGAAGGATCAGGAAGAATAAACTCATTCTTGGGAGCCAACCAGTTGTGTATGATGCATTCTGTAATTCTGTAATGATCAGACAGCAATCCTTAAAGGCGCTATCACTTTATCTCTCCTAATCTTCCTCTACTTTCATAGAAAACAGACTTTCAGGGTGAGCCTTTGGTTAAAAGTTTAGCTCTGGGATCACCATCTTGCTCTCACCTCCCACCTGGGGCTTTACACCTTCTTAGCCTTGATGGAAACTACACGAAGTCCAGGACCCTTCTATTTTCTACAAGGAGGGCTAAACATCAGTACTTACACTTCGCAGGGCTCTGCAAAGATTTGAAATGGAAGGCTGTACATGAATGTTGACCTGAGCATTGTGCTAGGTGCTAGGGTCAGATTTGTTCCACCCTGTCCCTGGGTAAAGGTCAGTTTAGTGGAAGAAACCACCAAGTGTCATCAGAAGTTTAAGCACTGAGGTGGTACCATAGACAGGATACCATGAGGACCCAGGGAAAGCTCCTAGACAGGATGGCAGGGCCAGCTTTCCTGAGATGGAGATGCATGAGCTGACAAGTGGTAAGAAGGAAAGACAGACATGAAGTTCACCCAGAACACAACACAAGTGCAATCAAGCTGAGTCATGAGGAGAAGCCGGAGAGCAAAATATCTCTGTCCAGGCTTCCCAAGGGAAACATTAAAAACTATCAAACTTGGGCTTTTTGTAACTCTGGTGGTGAAACATGAATGGTATGTTATGTTCTATAAGGTACTTCTCCAGTGTCCATTGCTTGTGTTCAAAAGTTAAGATATTCCCAAGGAATCCATATACTTTAAGGGCTTAAAGAAAACATAGACGATATCACTTAACAACCACCTTAGGGCCGGGTGGTGGTGGCGCACGCCTTTAATCTCAGCACTTGGAGGCAGAGGCAGGCGGATCTCTCTGAGTTCAAGGCCAGCCAGCCTGGTCTACAGAGCAAGTTCCAGGACAGGTTCCAAAGCTACACAGAGAAACCCTGTCTCAAAACAAAACAAAACAAAACCCAAAAAAACCACCACCTTAGGATCTTGCTGCCAAGACTACATTATTGAGTTTGGTCCCTGGGACCCACAAAATAAAGACTAGACTACTGAAGTTTGCCTTCTGGTTTCCACATGTGTGCTGTGGTGCACGCACATGCAAGTGTGCGTGCTTAAACATATAAAAAAATGAATTTGGAGCTGTCCCTTAAAATAGATGGTCAACAGCTTTTTCTCCAGGCATATCTAAAAGATAATTTCAAAATAAAGCCACTGATCCTCAAAGACTATCCTATGATTTCATTGCTAAGGGTAGAAAGAATATGCTTTGGGACTTACGGAGGGCTCAAACTGTAAGGAATTCATAACTTTTGGGGCCCTACCAAATTAAATCTGAAGGCTGCCAAGCAACTGCTGCTGGACTTCAAGTGCGCTCACTTGAACTTCATTCTCCACACGCTTACTTCCCCACAGACACTTCTGGTACAGCTGGGCTGGCCTATGGTCCCAGCAGGAAACAGTCTTAAATACTAACCTGCTTTACTTCAAAGGCAAAGGGGTAAAAGAATTTTGCTTAAATAAATAAATAACACAGAAAGTCTAAATACTGACCCCTTAAACTAGAATTACTTATTTCATACTGTTTGGATTTCCACAACTAAAGAAACCCTCAACGTTTTTCCCCCTAGAACATAGTAACTAGTTATGGGGAGACACAAGATTAAGACGACAAATTTCACTCTAGAGAAGCATGCAACATAGTAATAAAGTTTGCACTCTTAACCAGTTCAACAGCAGCCATGACTGTTTTCTGCAGCCAAAATTAGGGAGAGTAGTAAAACCCTAGGGTTAATTTAGTTAGTCCAAAAAATTCATTCAAGGAACCACCAAGATCATGTTCTATGTTATTTGAGGGGTACAAAGTAAGGACTTATTCTGTCTTCTATGATTTCATAGTCAAAATGTATGGGAACTAAGCCTGCACTGACAGAATTAATTAGAGCAGAAGGTGGAGTTCCTAGAACAACAGAGTCTATGTAGTGTCTAAAAACACCTGGCCAAATCAGCTCAGCCCTCAGAGGTTAAGTGGCATATTAGGAATTCGGGCCACACCTACCAGGGCCTGACCATAAGGCTCAGAAAAGATATATTTTACAAACTAATGATACATATCTAAAGTTGGTTGGCTTTTTAGTTTTTTAAATATGATGCCAATGGCGGGGGTGGGGGGAGGAAAAGGAGAAGGCTAACATTTATAAAAAGCACTTCAGCCTTTCCTCCCAGGCTTAGTAAGCGCTCCCCCATAACGTCCAAAAATGGGCATAATAGAAGATAAAACAAGTCAGTCTCGCATACTCAGAATTTAAAATGAGATATAACTGTTTCAGCTTACTATGGGAAGCAACAAATACACGCGTTAAGTAAAAATAAAATCTAACATCCTGAAACCTTGTCAAACAAAGAAAAACCTCATATCCTTATTATCTTAAACTACAGTGGCTTCTTCAGTGTGTCAGGTTCAGGTCCTAGAAACTTAAAGTAAAAGGGAACTTAGTTCCTCTTCTGTCACCCCAGTAAGTGCCTTTCTAAATCAGTGGTCCACACTCCAGCTTTTGGCTGTTTTAATGCTACTCCAGCAAAGAGCAAGTACACAGAGAGCAACAAAAAACACTTGGAACAACTTGACTGTATTTCAGTCCGTGTGACCTTACCACAAACCCCCAACGACTGCGAACTAACTACAAGCACCAACAGTGACCTCGTCGGAGAGGGGAATCTTCTTTTTGGCAGACCTGGCTCCCTTAACTTTGGAGATCAGGCTCAAGGAATGAGTGTGCGCGCGTGCGTGCGTGCGTGCGTTCCTTGCTTTCTTGATGAGCTCCAGTGTGTCACAGTGCACAGGTGACAGGAAGAGGGGGCTTTCAGGGCCACGCGGGATTTAAGACTAAAAGGGGCGCGAGCCCCGGGCCACCGACTCGGTCCGCCTGGCCCGGCGCCCGGTTACCTTTGGGGGTCAGAGCGCGCGCTCCCGCCGGGCCCGGGGGCGCGCCGAGGCCGCCGCGCTGGGCCCAGCCCGACTGACTCGTGAGCGCTGGCGGACGCCCCGGGGCTCCGTGCGTTTGGAAAAGCACAGCGCATCTCTGCGCGCCCGCCCGGGCCACACTCCCGGAGAGAACGGAGCCCCGGCACCACTGTTACCCAATAACCATGTCCCGCACGGTCGCAACAATGCGAGCCCCGGGTTCCCCGAGAGCACGAGTCCCTCGGCTCAGAGCCGCCCTGGCCGAGCGGAACCCGCAGGGCCGAGGGGAAGGGAGGGGCGGCGCGAGGTGCGGAGGCCGGCGCCACAGGCCGCGGTGAGTCCGGCTTTTTCCCGGTGCGTAGCCGGGGCCTGGCCCCGCGAATCCCGGCCCAGGCCAAGCTCAGGCGGCCGGGTGACTCAGGCCGGGCCTGCCGGCTCCGCTCCGCCCTCGGCGTCCTACGCCCACGACTTCCCCGGCCCGGCCGCCATTCGGCCTGGCCGCGGCGCGGCGCCTCAGGCCTCGCCGGCAGCCCGGGCTCGGCCGCCGCGGCCCGAGTCACTGCGACACCGCGGCTCCGCCGGGGCCTGCGCTGCCTCCCGCCGCCGCGGCCCGAGCCGCTACTCACCCGCATCTCCGGGCGCCCCCCGACGCTCGGGCGACGGCGTGTAGTGCTCGCGGGGCCCGCCGAGGTCTGGCCGCGTCCCTCAGCGCCCGGGCTGCCCCGCCTGGAGCTGCGTGCGACACGGCGCCCGCTCCTCCTCCTCCTCCCCTGCCCGCCTGCCGGCCCTCCTCCTCCTCCTCCTCCTCCTCCTCCCGCCGCCGCCGCCGCCGCCGCCGCCGCCGCCGCCGCCGCCGCCGCCGCCGCTGCCGCCTGCACCACGCAACCTCCGCCCTCTCGCCGTCCCTCCGCCGCTCCCCGCCCTCCCGGCTTCACCGGCTCTGGCGACCGCGGGGCGAAGCTGTGGGGGAGGGAGGGCCGGAACGCACCGCCATCGGCGTCCGGGGCGGGGGAGCCGAGAAACCGTCGCCGCCATGGCCCGGCCGGCGGCGGCGGCGGCGCGGGAGGGGGACCGAAACCGCCCTCCCGCAGGCCCCGGCCGACCCTCCGTGGCGAGGCCCCGCTTGGCGCGGGCATTTCTACCTGCAAACCATGGCCCCTGCTTCCCGAACGCCGAGCCGGGCACCGCCGGACGCGCCGGATCCTCCGCCAGGTTTTCCCGCCGCCCTCGCGTCGGGGCGGCCTCTCAAGTCCCGGCTTCCCGCCACTTCGGACTTCTCGTGGGGGCTGAGCTGAGGTTGGGGGCTCTGGCCTCTGAAGAAACTTCCGGAAGCAGCTGGGCGAGAGGGGCTTCGATCTCCCCTGCCCGGCTCCTGCGCGCATAGCCCCGGAGCTGACATGGCCCGCAGCACCCCCCGGAGCCGGGTGTCCCCGGCCCTGGAGTGGAACCAGGGGCGATACCCCCGACCGCCGGAGGAGAAAGGCAGATGGGCCGGCGGCCCCCAAATCAGCGCGGGCTCCAGGGAAGCGTGCCTCTCCGACCCCCTTCCTACCTGCAGGCCTTCCTTGGGGATCCCCCTGCCGAAAGCGCCGGCTTGCCCACATACCACGTGTATGTGTGTGTCTCCCTCTTGAGTACTTTCTCCAAACTTAAGTAGGCTTCCTTCCCTCTTTAGATCCTTTTCACTCTTAATCTCCGTAAGGTTCAATGTTGGGTATAGTTGGAGTTCGCGATGCCAACCTGGGATGGCATGAAACAGTATTGTTTTTACATCTGAATAATCTCACCCATTGGAAATCAGCTGCCGCCGTCGTCTTGTGTTTGTGATATTTAATTGTAAGTTTGGTTAAACCCCCCATAGCCACAGCTGAGAGGCTTGAGAAAGTAGATTTACCCCACACCTACTTAGAGGCGGTTGTTTTTAAATCCCAGTTCAGATCTGCCATCTAGTTCCCTGAACGAGTGAGGAAAGATTTTTGTTAGCCCATCATCTGGGCAAAAGATGTGTTTGGTGTTAACTTCCTGTTTTCAGCAAACTAGAACACTGCAGATTCTAATGGACCTTCAGGGCAGAAATCCTCAGCCGACCTGGCAGTCCCATGTCCACAGCTGGAGTTCCTTTCAAAAGGAACGCCCCACCGGTGTGTCTAGTCCCTTCTGTTGAACTGTAGCTTTTTGTCAACATCTATTAGATATTTGTGTGTTGTTTTATATATGTACCCCAAATTACACTATCCTTTCGTTTGTCTTGGACAACACCTCAATAACTCAGTCAACAGAACGTATTTAGTAACTTTTTTTCTGTAAGGGTGGGGATAAAAAATTGGAAGGTTTGTCCCGTGTATATTTTGGCTTTCATTTTAAACTGGAGTCCCATATGTTCAGAAATAACAGTTTACCTCCTCTTCATATTCCCTTTATTCTGTATGGTCTCCTATTTTGGGGATTTCTCACTTCAAGATCTGAATTGTGTGCATTAACTTTGAGGGCTTCCTCCAGCCGGTTTGGCCTTAAATACAAGTACTTAGTCCCACTGAACCCACTCCCTTCTCACGGTCTCCATTCCTTAAGTCTCCATTATCTGCTGTCAGCACGGTCATCTTCGGTGGCTGGACTTGTTCACTCACCTATGTCCACTTTGCGAGCAGATTGCGTTTCTTCTGAGCAGATAACCCTACCAAACAGGACCAAAAGATATAATAGCAACTCTCCTGCTCAAAACACCCTTCATCTTCTCTGTCTCAGCAAAACTGGCGTCTTTCAGGATGAGCCAGTTGGAAAGATAGTGACACCAGAGTCAAAGTTCAGAATGGTCTCAGAAGGCTTTAGCAGGCCAAAGCCAATGAGATTAAAATAGAGCTTTGTAAACTAGAAACAGCAATAGCGTTGGAAAAGCTCAAGTTTAGGTGTAAGCAGCTGTTTTTTAAGTACCTCATTGCCAGCTTCCCCTGTGTGTCCTCAGCTGTGCCTTGGAGACAGGGATTATTTCTTAGTTTGCCAGTTCCTTCAGCATTGTACTGAGGAACACTGAAGCCTGCCCAAAGCATGTCGACTACCACTCAAAGGGAAGAGCACTGAGTCACTTGAACAGCCATAGGAACTATTATTCTAAGACTTGGGTAAGGCACTAGCCATCTGTGCAGAGTAAGTGGATTTCACAGGTTGGTTTCTGAACTGACTTGACTTTGGATTTACCCAGAGATATAATCACTAATTCAGGGGCCCCTTCCAGATCCAAGAACCAAACTTGGGAGGAAAAGAGCAAAACCAGAATCTGATACTAGCGGAGTTTACATTTCGTCTTAACCATTGTTAGCTGGGTAGGTTTGAACAACTTCTCAGTGTTTTATCTCCATCTGATATGAGGATGGTAATAATAGTAACGTATGGAATTGTAAATTAAACATTGACAGATACTGCTGATGCTGAGAATTCTCTATAAAGACCCGGAGCCTGAGTGGGAACCACAGGTTTAACAAACCATTCCTGTTCTGCTGTCCAAATTTCAAATGTTATAACCCTAATATTTTCACTAGTAAGCTTTACAGTATATTCTAATAAAGCTCAATTGTTTTGAGGCAGTGTGATTTTTAATTTATGTGTATGAGTATGTTACCTGCACATATGTGTAGGCAACATATGTACCTGTATTATCTGTGCATTCCTGGTGCTGAGGGAAGCCAGAAGAGGTTCCAGTTCCTCTGGAACTGGAGTTACAGACAGTTGTGAGCTGCCATGTGGGTGCTAAGAATCGAACCCAGGTCCTCTGCAAAAATAAATACTCTTAATCTTCTGAGCCATCTCTCCAGCCTTCAAAATAATTGTTGAAAAAAGAATAGGTTGGACATAGTGGTAAATGCCCTTAATTCTAGTACTCTAGAGGCAGATAAGGCCAGTCTGGTCTACATAGTTCCAGGCCAGCAAGGGCTACAAACTGAAACCTTCTTTAAAAAAAAAAAGAGATCAGTCAGGTAAATCAGATTTTTTTATAAAGTGTTTTGTGTGTACAATTTTGAAGACTTTTTTGATTACATATATGTGTGTGTGTGTGTGTGTGTGTGTGTGTGTGTGTGTGTGTGTGTGTGTGTGTGTGTGTTGAGGGGATATGAGTATATGCATGTGAGTGCTGGTATCTGGAGGTCAGAGGTATCTAATCCCTTGGGGCTGAAGTTACAGCCCAATGTGGGTGCTGAGGAGTAAACCTGGGTCCTCTTCAAAAGTAGTACATGCCCAGGGGGCTGGAGAGATGGCTTAATGGTTAAGAGCACTGGCTGGTCTTCCAAAGGACCTGGGTTCAATTCCCAGTACCTATGTGTTAGCTTATAACTGTAACTCTAGTTCTAGGGGATCCTACACCCTCACATGCAGACAACACCAATGCTACTCTCCCACTCCTATGCTCTTAGTGAATCTACTGTCTCAGTCTTCCAAGTAGTAGTACACCATTCACAGGTATTTACCACTGATCACCTCAGATTTTTAAATCTTACATAATCCTATCATAAAAATTAACAAAAACCACAAATGCAACATTCTAAAAAATTCAAAATGTATTACTGGTGCTAATCTGTAGAGTGCTGTGCTACCATACCCTGCAAGAAATGGAAAAAAAAAAAAAAGCCCCCAAGCAGGACCATCGAATAACAGAAGCTGAAGTCTCTGAAGCCCCCAGACTACAGCCTCTATTTCCTTAGGTATTTTCAAAGAGTCTTACCAGCTCTGCAAAAATCTGTACAGTTTTTTTTATACCAAAGTTGTTGAGCTGTGCTTGAATTCCTGTTCTTAGCTAGACAATCACCCAAACCCCACACATATGCCTCACACATCATCACAAGATAGCCATTGATTCATCCCTTCCTCCTTTTCTTCATTCCTCCTTTCCTCCTCTTTGGCACCCTTTCATATTTCTCTTTTAGCTGTGTTCTGTTCATCTGGTTATTTTTGGCTGACTATTCAGACCACATTTCACCCCCTTTGTGGAGTATTCCCAATGGAGATGCCTAAATGTTTGCTTTTTATCTTTGGATGATGTTCAGAGAAAAACAGGAAGAATAGGATGGTAGTCTTTAAGAAGATTAGGAATCTTTTTTTTTTCTCATTACTTTCAGGAGGTGTATAACTTTTTTCTCTGGCATAGTGTCATAGTTACTTTTCTATTGCTGTGAAGAGACACCAGGACCAAGGTGACATAAAAGAAAGCATTTAACTGGGAGCTTGCTTATAGGTTTTGAGGGTGAGTCCATGACGATCATGGTGGGTAACATAGCAGGCAGGCAGGCCTGATGCAGAAGCAGTAGCTGACAGGTTCCATCTAATCCACAAGCCGAAGGCATAGAGGAAGCTAACTATAATGGCCGGGCTTTTGAAACCTCCAAGACCACCCCAGTACCACACCTCCAACAAGGCCATACCTCCTAATCCTTCCTAAACAGTTCCACCAACTGGGACCAGACATTCAAAAACATGAGCCTATGCGAGCCATTCTCAATCAGACCACCATGCATAGTAAGTTTTGTCATTTTACTTATTGTTATGTCTTCAACCTTTAGTTCTCCTTTAAGGACAGTCTTTCATTTCTTTTTATATTTCTCTGTGTGACATGTGGGGACATTTCTGCCTCTTAGCTTGTTGGGCTCTCCTTTCCCATGATGAGAGCACTCTCTGGTGTAAACTTCTCCTCAGAATCTCAAAAAGGGACCAAGTCCAAAAGAAAAGTGCTGCCTTTGGAGGGATACAGCATGAACTAGTTTGTACATTTTTTTTCAATATTCGTTTGTTTTGTGTGTGTGTGTGTCTGTGTGTCTGTGTGTCTGTGTGTCTGTATGAACCACATGCATGCAGAGGTCATAGAGGGCATTGATTCCTCTGTAACTGCAGTTACAGGCAGTGTGAACCAGTCCGTTGGTACTAGGAATTGAATTCAGGTCCTCTGCAAGAGCACTAGGTACTCTTAACTGTTGAGTTAATCCCTTTAAAACCAGCCCTTGCAGGTTTTAAGTTTATTTATTTAATCCAAATTGTGAAAGATACATTATTCATGTTGTTTTAAGAAAAACTAATTCCTCTTGAAAAAAAAAGTGGCTACACATATGCTGTATCTACACAGAACAATTCAGCCAGAGAAGTATCCGAAGGAAGAAGGAAGCGATAGAATAGTATCACGATTTCTTCCCCTTCAGACAGCCTTCAGCTCTTTGAGGAAGCAGGTTTTTCAGTCTCCTACATTAATTAGAAAAAAATCCATAGCTCATTTTGGTTCATCAAACGTCAGCAAAGAAAGATTTCTCATGATGTTTAAAGGTAACGAAGTAAAATACAAAGCTAATGTTATCCTGACAGAGTGACAAACTGCTCGAATTTGAGGAACAGAGTTCATTTCTCTCCTCCTCCTTCTCCAGGTCTTTCTCTTTCCCAGGTGAGTTCCTGCTTCAGCTCCCTGAGTAGCTGACACTAGCCGTGTGCCACAGCACACCCGGCTTTCAGCTCGACATCCAAGTCACCCAGTGCATTCCACTCCTGATTACTAAATCCCTCATGCAAACAAACACAAATTCTAAATTCAGATTTAGAATTGCACTAAAGATCCCAAAGTACTATTTCTCAAAGACTCAACGGTTAGTCACAGGTTCGTATTAACCAGCTGAATCGGGTTACCTGGCTTCTCTCTCGTGTAGATTGGTAGCAACTGAAAATGAAATGTTTTGGGCAAATCAGGTTTGGCAGAAACACCAAGTGCCTCAGGCAGGCTGAAGGCCTTGTCAAAAGATTCTGGAAAGAGGATACAAGCAAGAAGGGAATGAAGCTGGGCATGGTAACTCACACCTAAAATCCCAGCTCTGAGGAGGCTGAGGCAGAAGGCTTGGCTGTAACTTGGAGGCCATGCTGGGCCACAGAGTGAGACCTTGTCTCTTAAGAAAAAGATTGTAGGAAAGGAAAAGATTCAAAACATGAATGTGGCCAGTTTGGGGTTTTGTGTATTGCCAGTCCTAGGCCCCTGTTTTCAGACCCAGAAAAATGCTGCTGTAAACTAGTCATTTTGAAATCCGCCATTTTGGGGAAGGCAGCTAGCTAATTGTCATGACATTATTTGACTGGATTTATGAAATTTCATTTTCAAGTGATTGAGCCTAGTCTGGATGAGAAACTGAGTTCCAGGACAATGTTCTAAAATCACTTCATTCAGGATGCTGTATGACTCTCTATGCAGCAGACTTGCTTTGGGGCCACCAACCAGCTCCCAAATCATGACACAGGGACTTGTTATTAGTTATGAATGCTTGGCCTTGTCTTAGCTCTTGTTCTAATCTGTTTATCTACGTTTTGCCTCAGGCCCTCTCTTTCTCTCCTCTTATTCCCCTCTCTCTTCTCTCCTTCTATTTGTTCTCTCTGCCCACCAGCCCTGCCTATCCCTCTCCTGCGTAAATATTGGCCATTCAGTTCTTTTATTAGACCAATCAGGTGCCTTAGGCAGGCGAGGTGAAACAGCAACACATCTTTACATAGTTAAACAAATATTCCACAACACCTCTATATTTCAATTACTGCTCTTCACGTCAGACACCATTCTCCTATGGTTTTCTTATATTGGGTTCATTGGAGTACTAAAAACTCTACTAGTGAGTGTTAATCTTACCCAACAAATAAGCAAACGAAAACCACCCTCATGGAAACGTGAAGTAATGCTTGACCAAATATTAAGACACTGTCATGAAAGATTAATCATCGGACTGAGCAGAATGCTATGGACATAGCAAATAGAACTTGATTTCTCTATAAAAAGATGGGCTGGAGCCGGGCAGTGGTGGTGAATGCCTTTAATCCCAGCACCCAGGAGGCAGAGGCAGGTGGGTCTCTGTGAGTTCAAGGCCAGCCTAGTCTACAGAGAGATCCAGGACAGCCAGGGCTGTTACACAGAGAAACCCTGTCTCAAAACTGAAAAGAGAGAGAAAGAGAGAGAGAGAGAGAGAGAGAGAGAGAGAGAGAGAGAGAGAGAGAGAGAGAGAGAGAGAGAGAGGAGAAGTAGAAAGTCAGCAACTCAATACCCAGAGCACCCAAACTTGGCTCCTACTTGTAAACTTTCCCATTCTCTTCTGTTGCATTTCCCCAGCCCCTCTGTGCTGGGTACTTTCCTCATTGTTGTGATGAAACATTTGGCAAGAAGCAACTTAAGGATTTATTTAGTCTTACAGTTCAAGGATGTCCAACATGGTGAGGAAGGAGTTTGAGGGAGCTGGTCACATGAGGCACCCACAACTAGGAAGTAGAAAGTTCTGAATGCTGATGCTCACCTAAGTCTCCTTTTTATTCCGTATAGGATCCTAGCTCATGGAATGACACTGTGCATAATCAAAGTAGATCTTCCCATCTCAATGAGCCTGATCTAGATATTCCCTCACAGGCATGCCCAGAGGCTCTTAATCTAGGTCATCTCTCACTGACTTGTCCAGAGGCTTGTCTCCTAGGTGGTTTAAATCCAGTCATATTGACAGTCATAGTAACCATCACACTCTTTTTACCTATCTTTTTTCA